AGGGGAGGAGGCGCCGCTCCTCCATCTTGGGGAGGGGGCGCGGTGCTCTGGCGCTGCTCCCTGCCCTCTCTCCTTTTTTTATTAATAAAACGTGCTGGCTTTTTGTCTCTCTCTCCCTTTTTCTTTCCCCTTCCCCCCCTCCTTTTAACTTGCCTCCCGTTTGCCTCGTGATTTGCCCTAAGCCCGCTTTTTCCCAGCTCGAAACAGGCCGTCTGACTCAGCACTGGGCAGGGAGCGGCGGCCTGCGCCACGGGAAGGGCCCGGGGCAGCGCGGCGGCCAGGCCGCCCTGGGGGGTTTCGCGTCCTCCTCGCGTGCTGGTCGGGGACAGGCTGCAGCTGGAGGGGTTTTTACCTGACGCGGGGTTACGCTAAGATGAGTTTTATCTTTCCAGCGGCTCCGCTGAGCCATGGTCCTGCTGCCGTAGATGAGACAGCAAGAAGCACACGCATCTGAAGCCTAAAGATACCAAACCACCAAGTTTTACTGCTTCTGCCTTATTCCTTGGGAAGTGGAGGTGTGGGGTGGGTAGCATTTGTCTGAAGTTCCTACTCTGGCTGTTGACGGGGGGGAAGGTGGTCGAGCCCCGCCATGCTGCGGAGGAAGAAAGCCCCCTGACTTCTCACTGGGGTGGGAGAAGGACAACCTCAGCGTCCCTGGTGGTCTGCTGGAGGGTCGCGGAGGTGGGATCTGTCCTACCTGGTTCCTGTTGTAAGGTCACCTGAAGGCCTCGACGCCTCTGTGGCTTGTGACTGCTCAGAGCCCGAGTGCAGCGTTTTGAGGATGCTGTCGCTGTTGTTGGGGATTTACCACTTCCCCCAGTGACCAGGTGCGCCCAGAGAAGGATCAGAGGGTGGCACTGAACTACACGTCCTCTTTCTGCTTCCCTTCTGGTTCCTCCTGTCTGATTTTCTTTAGAAAAAAAAAGAACTAGAGACCCGATACTGCTCAGCTGACAAAGCCCGGTATCCTAACAACAAATACCTCCATCTAAAGCCTCTATAAAAGTACGCATAGCTTATTCAGCACCGCTTTTCAATGAAATATTCAGCATTTCTGTCTCTTTGATTTTGCTCTACCCTAATTCCTCCTCCTCATTCACGTTTTCTGCTGAATGACTACGGCATACGTGTAGTCAGAACGTGCAGAAATGGTTTGTTTCTTTGCTTTTGACAGTCACACTCCAAAATAATTGGCCTATTTCCGTTTGGAAGAAGACCCTTTTCTACTCAAGACCGGAGTCCACGTTCCACAAAAAAGACCTGGTTTAAGTCTGCCCTGTCTTAGCAACATTTCAAGCAAGCAGTTTCATTTTCAAGTGAAAGAAAATACAAAGAGCTTTTAACTTCAAACTTCAATTATAAAGGTTTCGTGCTAATTTGCACCAGCCTGTCAAGGTCCCAGTCCTCGGTTCCACCTGCTAGTGATATTCTGTGCGTTGCTGAATTCCGCTTAGTCTTTCATGGATTGTTAGCAATGCTTGACTCAGGAAAAGGGTATTTTGCAAGTGCTACAGGATGATTGAAAAAGCGTTCTGAGGATGCAAAAATGTCATCTCTTCAGCATGCAACCATTTTTACCTCCTCTTTTTAGTTTCCTTCTGATTCCCACCTTCCCAGTTTTTTTAATAGTAGGCTGTATTACATTTCCTGAAGCTGCTCAAGTCTTCATTGGCATGGGACGCCTGTAGCTCATGTGTTTGCTTTGTAAAGCAAGGAATTAAATCACTGAATTATATTACTGGCTTGCCTGTGGATACAGAGGAGGGAACCTAAAGGAATTGTCTGTTTGCATTTTTTTGATAATTTTTCATGCTATGTTGTTATGCCAATTTTGATTCTTCAGTTTCTGTGATTTCCGTGTGTTGGTTGTTTAGGTCAACTTTCCTCTAGGCTTTGGAGGCGGAAGATCCCTTATTTGAAGGAACAAAGATGTAAAGTGAGTTCCTGGCAATTATTCTAATGACAGAACAAAAGGATCAATAAGAAGACTGCTGCATTTGTTTGTGATGTTGACCAAGATGACTTGACTTTGAAGGGGAAATGTGTGTGGAGACAGGAAGCCTGGCTGTCTTTCCTTCAGGAGGCAGCAGCGCTTCTCACGCCCTGCAGCCTTCCTGGCTGCACAGAGGGCCCATTTACTGACCCAGGAGGCAAAGGTGATTGGCCTTCAATGCTTTGCATGGTTGTGAGATCCTCATTTTTCTAGTGCTTTGCATGGCTGCGAGATCCTAATTTTACTAACTGCAAAAGCTCCAGATGTGTCTGTGCACAATTTTTCGTATCTTCTGCAAGAGAGAATATTGACTTGTACACTCAGAGCTGGCCACTTTTGAATAACCTGTGCAAGTCTACAAAAACGTTGCTTAGGGTAGCACAGGCTTAGAGAGACAAGCCCTCTGCTTGTCCTGCGAGAAGGTGCATCCCACCATCTCAGTGAAAGCATTCGGAAAAGAATCGGAGCAGAAACTGTCCCTCAGTTCACTCTCCCAACACGGGGATAGCTAATCCAGTGCCCCTGGCTCTCACAAACAGCCTTCCTTCCCCGTTGAATGACTGTGACGCAGTTAGTCCTGTTGAAACACAAAAATGTCAGAGCAAACAGCTCCCTTGCTAGAAACCTAGCAGCAGCACCTATTGCCCACTCACAGTCTGTAAACTCCAGAAATGCTCTGAAATGGAGGAGCAGAGCAAGAAAGTGGATTTGCTGCAGATGGTTGAGGCTAAGATGATATTTTCTTGCTGAGCCAGTTCTTGCCTTTCATAGCACTGATGAACTAATAGGCTTAAGGCTGATGAAATAATAGGCTTAGTGTGTGGTAACACTATCTGAAGACCACTAAAACCTCAAAATGTAGTCTCCTGCACAAAGGCTGATCTGGTTACCTCCATCTGCCTTTCCACAATAAGTGCAGTCATTTGGCCAGATAAAAAGCCCTAGGCAGCTGTCATCACTCGAGGGGACATCCCAGGGTACTTCGGCGCCTGCCTCTCACATGTGCCCCCTGCGGCCCCAGCGACTGGGGAGATGCCGAGGGAGCTGCTGGGAGATGCCATAGTCGAGTTACCAGTACTTAGTCTTTTTTTTTTTTTTTTTGCGCTTTTTAAAAAAACCCAAAGGGAAGAGTTCTGCCAACAGTGCGAAAGAGGGTAGCGTTCACTTGTAAGGGATTTGGAACAGATTTTTTTTCTGATTCTTCAGCAGTTTTCAGTTTCTGAAAGTCACTATGAGGTCGGTTCCCTTTCTTGGCCATGTTTGCCCAGCTTTTTCAATAGTACTCGCAGGTTATTTCCACTACCAAGTTCAGGTAAAGCTTCTGCCTGAACTAATGATTTCTGCATAGGTTGTTATTAGCTTCGCTCTCCCACCAGTGACAGCATCAGGAATTCTAATAATAGTACAAAAGATAAGAATAGCACAGTATAAGCCTTCCTTTCTTTCGTTAAAGTATGTTATCCTTCAACAAGGCAGGTGAATACCCTTTCTTTATTCAAGACACTACTCTTACAGTATCTCCTTAAGTCAGTAGCTCAATTTCTTTTGATTTGTGCGTCACCACACTAATAAGACACACTAGTGATTCTACTGCAAGTTGTCACAGTAACAGTATTACTTCCATTTGAAGTGTTGTAATTTAGCAACATCTCTGCCTGCCACATCTTCCATTTAAGTCCCGTTTTCTCAGCCACTACCAAAATGACGGTGTTACGCCGATGGCTTCCGAATGGCTGGGATGGTAGGGTTTTTATCAGAGCTGGTATGTCACAGCATGCCTTGTCTCCAATAAATAAAAATATGCTATTTTGGAATCTATATTAATTCACCTTTATTCTAGCCTTAGTGAAGACAAAAGCTGAGAATCTTTACCTCAATGACATGAAGCGAAGTCACTCTGTAACCCCTGCTTGGGCTTTACCTGGAGTAGGTATTTCAAGACAGCATCTGCATGCACTGTCTTCAGTAGGATTTGGTACTGCGGCACCTGACACTGGGTAAAAACACATTAAAATATGCCAAAGCGATACCATGACTTTTGTGGAGTTTTTTGGTCGCGTTGAGCTGATACAACTGAAAAGCATGCCGTTTGCTCATCCAGCCACAGCCCACCAGTTTCTGTGTAATTATGCTCGTCTTTATTCCCTCCTTGCTAACTGTTTCCAACTCTTTGCACGGTTTTAATTTCTCTGGTAAGATCTCTAGGGCAGGGACTTTGTACAGCAGCCATAACAACAGGCACTGCAGGTGTCGCCATAATACAAGTAATCCTGCTTGCGTTTTGATCTAGTAATTGTGGATGTCCTGTCTGTTCTTGAATCAAATGAACTTGCTAACCCTCATATAATGTGCGATATTTATAGGTTTACTCTTCCTAGCACTTCTTTGTACAACCAGTCTTTCATTAGTTGTGGTTTCAGATTACTCCTTTCATTTAGGAGAACAGATATTCTTTAGGTATATGTTTTTAGCCATGAC